TCTTGATTTCCATTAGAATGCTCAGCTACTGCTGTACACAATCTCATGTCTTATAAAAGTAAATAAACCGACTTTTAAAACATTTTCCTCCAATATACTTTTAATTCCTGGTCCTTGTTGACACTTGGCATTTAACTAATAAAACTACTTTCCATGTAATCCTTTCTAGAGGCTTCCTCTATCCTTGATTTTTACGGCTTTGAGAGAAGGTTGGCTTTCTCACAGAACTCACTGATCCTGTAAGACCACTGGCACATCACTCGTCATTAAACAGCTCTTGTCTTCTCTTTGTAAGTGATTCTTTACCACCCTCAAGACACTCCCAGTATCGTCACTGACTTCTCCTCCCTTCCAGTCATCTCCTGGACCATAACTTTAACATCCAAGTTCACAAACAGTGCAACTCAACAAGCTGTGATGAATATCTACCTCTAGGCAGGTGTTTGCTTGCCACTGAGGGTTCATTTCCTTGAGGAACATACTGCATTGGGCTATAATGTGCAATAGTGGCTAAGAGTATGGACTCTGAATTCAGACTGCTTGAATCTAATCCTGGCTCTACCACTTTCTAGCTTTTTGATCTGCATCAACTTTCTTCTCTCTATGCTTATGTTTCATCATCAGTAAAATGGGTACCTACTCCCCAGAAAGTTTTTTCAGGCTTGGTGGTGGTGGTGGCGGTTATGGGCTGTGGAGTCAGTTCCTACTCAAAGCAACCCTTTATAGGGTTTCCAAGGCTGTAAATCTTTATAGGAGTGTCTGTCTCCTATGGAACAGCTTATAGTTTCGAACTGCTGACCTTGAGGTTAGCGTCCTGACTCATAAACAATATGCTACCAGAGCTTAAATGAAACCAAGTCATATACATAAGGTACTTGGCACAGAACCTGGCATGAAATAAGCTCCTAAAGAATGTCAGCTTTTATTATTCCTAACAAGAAATGATCCTCATTTTCAAAGTAATTGTTGAAGATAAGAATGCAGTATATATGTCCAATTTCATGCTGTAAGTACTACGGAAAGTCAAGATGGTAAGAACCATTCATAAAATTTGAGAAGTCTTCACTAAATGGGGACCATTTTACTTAAGTCTTAAAGATGATTCCCCAGGTAGACAAGTGAGGAAGAGCATTCTGGACCGAGAAATCCATCAGTCCAGAGACTTGGTTGAGGTACATGGCAGATTTGGGGAAAAGCAAATGGTTTGATATGGCTGTTATGTAGGGTGATTGAAAACAGAAAATAAAAATTGCTAAAATAAGTTTTCACTTTATATCCAGATCTAATTAGGAGCTGTAACACAATTCTAAGGACCATGCTTTTGGAGCTTCTTGAACTTATTTTCTTCTTTTTTATATACACAAAAACACTCAAGAATATATAGTCATTTAAACAAACCAAGGGCACATTCTGCAAACCTGCCTCCTGACCACCAGCACACAACCTTTCTCTTTTCATGAGTCTAGAGTTCTCAGCTGCTCTATCTCTTTACATCCTCATCTCTGCCTCCATCTCTGGTATCGCTGCTTCTCTGGAAAGGGCCCCACAATCTGCTCATGCTCTTCTCCCTTGATGGTCCTAGTATCCTCTGTTCCTGGAATGTAAGATTAACTACCTCCTTTTTTATTATAAAACTTCTACCTTTACAATTGTGACAGTTGCAATTAGTCATGATAACAATGACTCACTATTGAATCATAAGAATATTAGCCCCATCTCCTTTCATCAGACTCATCTAGACAAGATGAAAACTATTCAGTGGGGATTCTAACTTTCCCTGCATACTTTGAAACTCAACTCCCTCTTGAAAACTTGTAAGGCAGCCACTTTGTGCCTTTGTAGCCCCCCCACCCCCACCCCATTTTAGGTATCCAGTCCTTATCTACCTGTGTAGATAAGTTGCCCATCCTTATCAACTCTGTATACAGAGGTGATAGGATTGATACTTAATATGAAGACTCCTTCCCCCTCAGTTGGTATTTTGAGCTACTATATCCATAAGAATAGGTCAAGTTCATCAAGTTGTAGCAATTTACACTTGTTTCCTTTATCAAATTTCCTTATCTTTCTCTATTTGAGTTCTGATCATCAAGCCATCGAAGCTAGGTCAACTGGGTCCTATCTGCAAGTTTGGCTGTTCTTGTGCTGCTCCCTTCACTTCATATCAGCTGAATGCTTCACTCTCAGCTTTAGCCTTCTGTGGCTAGGTCCTTGTCCACAGGCTTAGGAGTCCTCAGGTCTCACAACACTTCGGATCAACCAGCCCTTCCTCTTCTCTCTGTGATCTCCAGATTGATTGGAGTCTAAGGTCAAACTCAGCCCATATCTTCACTGCTGACTTTCCACCATTTCCACTCACCAGTAGACCAACATGGTTGCCAGCAAGTTTATATGCCTGTTCATGTGTTCCCTTTGAGTTTCAATCTTGGAGGACTGCTGGTCTTTCTTTCAAGAAATATCTTCTGTTCCTCTAGCTACTCTGCATGTCCTTTCAAGTGGAAAGGTCCCACCTCAGAAGGTTTTAGATGGGGCTCAGGATTCCACCTAGGATCCAATACATTACAAAGGCTAGGCTCCGCAAGAAGTATATTTCTCTGGAGATGTTCTAGAACCTCTTTTAGGTATTACAATAAACTATAGACTGTTATAGCCTTATAAGTTATAGACATATGTTTTCTGTAATCATGTTTCCCAATATTCCTTTCTATTCCACTCGTGTCTATTTTATAATAGTAAGCAAGGGAAACCAACACTCATAAGACAGTCAAGCATCTTAACATTATTTTCCCTCTTTTATCCATTCAGACTATGCCTCAATCTCTGTATCACAGAGCCCTGTTGTTGAACTTATTTTCAATGAGCTCCATGTCTATCCCATTTACACAGAAGAGCCATTCATGGAAACAACCACAAGTTAGAACTGATGATCACTTAAAACTGCTTTACCACAAAAATTCTAATTGTCTCCTGAAGACTCTCACTTCCTTATCTCTATTGAACTTTACTTCATCTTTAGGAGAAATTTGGTCACTTGGCTTCTCCACCTTCATACTGTCCATCACTCCTTTTCTATCTTGATATGTCTGCCTAACAAGCCTAGATTTATTTTTAGGCAACTTTGGGTGGATTCAAACCTCCAACTTATTGGTTAACAGCTAAGTGTGTCAATCGTTTGTACCACAAGAGACTATTTCTAAGTACAGAGCCTTGGGTAATTGCACAGGTCACCCATACATGAAGCCCATGAAGCCAGCCGCACTTGTACAAATGTTGGAAGAACTGAAGGAGGAAAATTTGCTTTCAGCAAATATCTCAGTTTAAAACATCAAAGTGGGTGGAGGAAAGTGTTAAAATTCTCCGGAATCACTAGGAAGTGTCCACTACCCCATTCTACAGCAGTGAAATGAGTGATTGTCCATACTTTAGAAAGAAGTTAGGAATCAGATCTGTCTTATCTATTCCATTTGGTACTGAGTCCCTCAGATCCTGCTGTAATTTTTTTCTCTTGTTTCATAAACAACTGGAAACCATCTCCAATGAATTTGGTTTCAAGATGCAACCCTGAGAAAAAGTTTCATAATTAAAAATTTTACAGTTCTTACACAACCTGTCAAGAAGGGCTACTCACTTTAGCAGTTTTCGATTTCAATGGTTACATAGAGTTTGAATGAAAAGGTGATGTTTTAGGTAACACTATCCATAGAATGCTAGGCAGATAAAGGGGACCACATAGTTTCGGTATTTTTTGAATGTTGATCAACTGTATATATTTAATAGCTGTGTGCACATAGTAGCAAATATCCAAATGAAAAATGGAAATTATAGTGGGCTATACAGATGTTCTATATATGAAGCCAAACATCTGGAGATACAAAAACATCTGGTTGACTGACTAGATTTTTCAGTTTTCTTCTGCAATTTTAGCATTGTGAAAGCATAGAACATTTGGCCGTATCATTAGCAGTAAAAAAAAAAAAAAAAAATGCAACAAGAATCATGCTATTAAGCAGCATCAGGATTAATACAAATAAAATCACTCTGAAAATTAGTAACTTATTTTTTAATTAAAATTATATTTAAGCTATTGAAACTCATTCCTATACCTGGATCTGAGTTACTTTAAAACTAGTCTTTGAACTAAAAACTAAAGTAACTGCTGTGTTTAAAATAATGGTTTATAAAGAATTTCTTAAATGTTAGGAAGTAATCTGTGTTATGATTGAAACACAGATTGATCTATGTATTTTATTTGAATTGTGAAAGATAAAACTTAGAAAAGGGTTAACAAATTTTATACCAATAGTTTGGCTTTATGTGTTAAATGATTCCCAGCAAATATAAATAACTAAAGTACCAAAGGAGATATATAATCCAATGTCATACAAAACCTGTGAAAGAACAATGATTGTTTTTTCTTCAGTAAATATGTTGTATGTACAGGTACACTTCTAAGCACTTTAGAACACATTTATTTACACTATAGGTAGTTAACGGTTATTCTCGACATTTTTCAGGTGAGGAAACAAATATGGAGACTTTAAGAAAGTTACTCAAAGTCACACAGCTAATAAATGACTGTGACAAGTTCCCAACCCAAGCAATCTGCCTTTGAAGTCTTGGTTTTTAATCATTACTTTACAGACTGCTAAGAAAATTAAATGTTTAAAAATAACTTGCAAGTATTGACCAATCCCTTCTAGACTTCCAGCAAAAATACAGTTGACAATAACTTTGTTCTAAAAATGACTCCTTTGTTTCCACAGAATATAACTCGGCAAGCTGTTGTATGCAATAATTCTTTGCAACTAGCAGCTGCTCTGCTTTGTGTAACTTCCCACAAGCATGCCAAAATGTTAATAACAATTACAATTAGGAGAGAAATTATTTGGGGCAACATACTATTTAACAAGAGCTCTGGTAAATCAAAAGTTGCCAAATAGCTAAAAATATTAACACTTGGCTAAAACTTTTCTCCTTTTTCTGCTGATTCTTTTAAAAAGGTGTGAACTGTGCATTGGAAATTGAGGAATGTTGGTAGCAGCCCTCTCTAAATGGTGCAACTTGTCAGGAAGCTCTAGGGGTTATCTCTGTGCCTGTGCCCCTGGATTTCAAGGAGACCACTGTGAATTCAACCTGGATGAGTGTGCCAGTCAGCCTTGCCTCCATGGCGGGTTCTGTGTGGATGGAGACAACAGGTATGTTCTCTTCCATGTTCACGTGACCAGCTTAGAGAGAACCCACTGACCTAGAGCTATCATGGCACTCTGGGGAATTTAAAAATCTCGCACTCTTGAGATTTTATATCTTATATGAAGAAAAGTAGTACCGCTGATGAGATCACACCCAAAATGCATCTTTTTGGAAGGCATCTGTCCTCAAAAGGAGGATTGTCTAGGTCACTTGGTAAGAGTCCCTAGGTGGTACAAACAGTTAAGTGCTTGGCTGGTAATCAGAAGATTGGAGGTTAGAGTACCCAGAGATATCTTGGAAGAAAGGCTCAGTAATCTGCCATTGCAGGTCAGAGCCATAAAATCCCTATGGAGCAGTTACACTCTGACACACATGGAGTCTCCAAGAGTCGGGATCAACTTGATAGCAAGTGGTGTTTTGTTTCTCTTGTAGGACTTTGCTGTTGTTGTTAGGTGTCTTGAGGCCCATTGTGACTCATAGCAACTTTATGCACAGCAGAATGAAATGCTGCCTCCTCTTTCACAACCTCAAGATCATTGTTACACTTGAGCCCATTGCTGCCACTTTGAGAATCCATATCTGGGATCTCTCTGTTTTTCACTGACCCTTTACTTTGCCTAGCTAGCATGATGTCCTTGTCCAGGCACTGGTCCCTTCTGATAATAAATCCAAAGCATGAGAGATGAAGTCTGGCCATCCTGGCTTCTAAGGAGCATTCTGGTTGTACTTCTTCCAACACAGATTTGCTTATTTTTCTGGCAGTCTATGGTACTTTTAATATTCTTCTTCAACACTATACCTTAAATACATCAATTCTTTTAGTTTAGAGCTGCTTTTACTACTTAAAAGTCTCAGCCTTTCAATTTTATTAAATAAATCTTTTTTAGATAAGGAAGGTTTAAAAACAAAGCTAGAGATTGTTCTATGTGTGAACATAGGTTGCATCTGCATAGCAAACTTCATTTAAAGGTATAAATGGGCTCAAGTGTAACAATAACCATGAGGTTGTAAAAGACGAGGCAGCATTTCATTCTGCTGTGCATAGAGCTGCTATGAGTCACAATGGATCTCAAGGCACCTAACAACAACAACAAACTCCTACAAGAGAAACAAAACACCATTTGCTGATTTAAAGGTATAAATCAAGTGGTAAAAATAAGTCCTTTAGGAATTTGATATAAACAGCATTGGAAAGGACAGTCATATTAAATTAGCTATCATTTGCATGTCCAGGTGTTTGAATAATTAGATGAATACTTCTGAGAAATCAGAATAATGAGAAGAAGCTCTTTGACTCTCTGGTGTTTCAAAAATAACAAAAATTATATCTGAGTTTCAACTGAGCCGCAAGGTTGCCCTTTCAAACCCACCAGTGGATCCTAGGAAACCCTATACAGGGTCACTCTGAGTTGGACCAAACTCAACGCACTTAACAACAATAATACGATGGATATAAAAATTAGTGTAATGGTAGTTGAGTTAACATGAAATATGTTGGAAAGAACTTTCTAGTACTTATTTAAAGAATATTTACTGAATTACCAAATGCATAACCATTTTTAACATCATTGAGCACTCAACATTATCTTGTTACAGTGAACACTGCATTAATTTTCCCATATTACAAAAAAGAAGTATAAAGTTCAGGGCTGTGAGGAGTCTCCCACAAAGTCACACAATTAATTCTTTGCTATCTATAAGAGTCTTCTTTTATTTAATGAGAGATATAATTTGTCTCAAATCTATTTTTGAAAGTGAAGCAGATTCAAAGAGAGATCAATAAAATGCATGTGTGCTTCAAACATGCTGTGGTTGTTAAGTGCCATTGAGTCAGTTCCAACTCATAGTAACGCTGTATAGGGTTTTCTAGGAGCCACTGGTGAGTTTGAACTGCCAACCTTGTGGTTCACAGTCCAGCGCTGACCCTACAGTGCCATACCAGAAGTCCAGCCAAATAATAGAAATTGAGTAGAGCAATGCAATTATTTGTTTATTTTTGTAAAATCAAAACATGATTTTAAACCATATTCTATCTTCTGCCTCTGCCTCTTAGTTCTACCTAAATCATGCTCTAGTGACAGAAATCTAAATTCCTGCAGACAGAACAAGAATGGAAATTTTTTAAAAAGAATCCCAGAGGAAAAATAAGAGGTTTCCCTATCATCTCCAGAAAACCACACAACAGATATTACCAAAAACTTTTGATTTCTATGGAAATGCAAACAAACGAAGGCTAAAATCTTGTCACTATATTCTCTTCACTTGAATGTGACATGAATAATGTGTTGCTATTGACCTTGAATCATAGAGACCCCATATGACAAAGTAGAACTGCCTATAGGATTTTGTGGTGAGGCAGGATAATGCCTGAACTATATGGTCAGTTTGAACCCCAGGTCAGTCATTCAAATCCACCAGCTGCTCCTCTGAAACCCTGTACAGGGTCGCTATGAGTCAAAACTGACTGGATGGCCCTTAAGAAAAACAACAACAATCTTTACAGGAGGAGACTCGTTGTCATAGTGATTGAAGCACTTGACTGCTAATCAGTTTTTCATTTGAACCCACCAGCTGCTCTGCAGGAGAAAGATGTGACCATAAAGATTTTACAGCCTTGGAAACCCTATGGAGCAGTTCTACTCTATCATATAGGGTTGCTATGAGCTGCAGGATAAGCACTAGATATCTAGCCCCAAAGTTGGCAGTTCAAACCTACTAGGTCTTCTTGGGAAACCCTATACAGGGTAGTTATGAGTCAGAACTGACTTGATGATACTTAACAAAAACATAAATAACTAAATAAAATAGGGCCACAATGGTATAACTCTTTCTCTACTGCCTTCTAAACGTCTAACAGTTTGATTTAGTAAGATTTAATAGCAGTTTACCCAGAAAAAGATGATACTTTGTGCTTCCGCAAAGATTACAGTCTTGGAAACTCTATAAAAGGTCGCTATAAGTGCAAACCCACTCAATGTCACTTAAGAACAACAACAATAGCAATTTAAGGAGCTGTGGCGACACTTAGGGTTAGGTGTTGGGTTGCTAACCACAAAGTCGGTAGTTCAAATTCACTACCACTCCTCAGGAGAAAGTTGAGGCTCTCTGTTCTCATAAAGATTTACATCTTAGAAACGCTATATGGGGTCACTGTGAGTCAGAATTAACTCAATTGCAGTGCCTTATAGCAACTTAATCAGTACCTTCTGATGCCTAAAATGCGGAGCTTCATTTTTCACATATACATTTAGTTATCATAATAACCCTGAGACATGAGTTCTATCATCTACAGTTTATGGATGAGTAAAATGAAGTATGGAGTCCTGGTGTAGCGCTGTGGGTTAATGAGTGAAACTGCAAAACTGTTTGAACTGTAAGGTTGGCAGTTCAAGCTCACCAGCTGCTCCTCAGAAACCCTGTACAGGGTCACTATGGGTCAAAACTAACTCGATGGCACTTAACAACAACAAAAAACTGAAGTAGGCAATCGTGGTTTCCAAATAATTTTACATGATGTAGTATTATAAATTTTGAAAACAGATCAATGTTTTCTAATGATAAGACATAAACATGAAACTTACAATGCTTTTGGGATTATATAAATAATTGCCAGGCATTTATATACAAGTATTAAAACTATTTCTGGACATCAGGTTAACAGACAGGCAACGAAAACAGAGAAAAGATCATTTATCTCAATATGACCAAGAGCTGACATGAAAATTTCATTTTACTCTCCAGATACAGCTGTAACTGTGTGGATAGCCAATTCACAGGGACACACTGCGAGACCTTAGTGCCTCTATGGTGGTCAAATCCCTGTCATAACAATGCTACATGTGAGAACAGTTTGGACAATTACAAGCGTCGCTTTGGACCTCGTAAGTGACAAAATGCCTTCCACCAACTGGTTTTTTCTGCCCCTCTTCAAATAGAAACAGACCTTTTGTATGAAAGAGAAACTAAAATTTCTTATTGTTAAAAGTGTAAAAGCAACTTTCTTCCAGTTATCATTGTTTAATTGTATTTTTTCAATGTTTGTATGTACCTACTGCTATACAGGAGTCCTAGTGTGGTGCTGTGGGTTAATGGGCCAGACTACAAAGCCGTTTGAACTTCAAAGTTAGCAGTTCAAGCTCACCAGCTGCTCCTTGAAAACCCCATACAGGGTCACTATGGGTCGGAATCAACTCGACGGCACTTAACAACAACAACTGCTACACTAAGCATTATCTAAAGTAGGTTACTAACCTGCCCAATGATCCTAACCCTCAAAAGGAGACAGGGGAAAAAAAGCAATGGAATGATAAAACTCAGTATCTTAGCTGCTTCCTTTGCCTATGAAATATTCTCTTAGACACCTGGAATGCATCAAAACCATGAAATAATGTTGAAACCCTAGAAGCCTGTATTGTAATTCATGGAATCTTTCAACATGATTATGATAGTGCCCATAGAGGGTATAGAATGCTATTCTAGAAATAGGAGTATTCTCCTGGGAACATATAATGTTAAGAATACATTAACTATAACCAGAAATTGCATATAAAGAGTAATTAGAAAATTTTATAGAACTCTAGACTTGTGTGTAGAGTTTATGACAGAATAAGTAGAAAATGGTATGTAACACCTGAGTCAATATGATGCTAATTTGGCAAACAAACAATTTACTTGGTATTTTTTAATTTTAATTCTCCCTAAAATATTATTTATAAAAATGAAAGGTACAGCACCTCCTCTCTGTTCTTTGTTGATCTGCTGAAGAAAAAAAAAAAAAGACAAATTGATGATTATTCTAGTACAGTTATATAAGATTAGAGTCCTGGGTGGTATAAATGATTAATGGCTCAGCTATTAACTATGAGGTTGGAAAGTTGGATTCATTCATAGACACCTCAGAAAGGCCTGGTAATCTACTTCCAAAAAATTCTCCATTGAAAACTCAATGGAGCAGAGTTCTCCTCTGACACATACTGATCACCAAGAGTTGGAATCAACTCAGTGGTAACTGACTTTTAGTAGTTATTGTTGTTAAGTGCCATCAAGTTGCAACCAACTCATAGTGACCCTGTATAGGGTTTCTGAGAAGCAGGTTTTAAGTTACATAAGTATACTTATCTATCTAGAGACCACTGTGGCTTTGTAGTGTAAGCACGTAGGATAAGCACTGGACTGCTAACCACAAGTTTGGCAATTCAAGTCTACCAGCTGCTCCATAGGAGAAAGATGAGACTTTCTGTACCTGCAAAGATTTACAGCCTTGGAAACCCTATACAAGGTCACTATGAGTCAGAACTGGCTCAATGGCTCCTCACAGCAGCAATTATCCATCTGCCTCTCCCCATTCTATTTTTCTTTTTTAAGAAAAGGATAATCCTGTGGTTGGTAAAAAAACATGGAGACTGGAGTCAATTGTTAGTGCCTTCTGTTTGAAAGATATTCCATTGCTTGAGGAACTTTGAATGTTTTTAATTAAATGTATTTTGTGGGTAAGAAATATGAAAATATTAAAAGAAGCTTAGAATTTATTTTTCAGTATCCTTGGTCACTGTATAATAGACTTTAACAAACACTTTTTATTGTGAATTGAGTGAAAATTTACAGAGCAGATAATCAGTTTCACCTACAAGAAATCCTACACTTCCTTGCATCTCAATGATTGCATTCCCTTCAATGTAACATCCCATATTCCACTTCTCTCTGTTTCTTGTTTCCATTCTTCCATCTTTCCCAATCCTGTCTTTACATAAATGCTGCCCTTTTGATCTTGAATGGTTGGCCATTCATTGGTTTGTGTACCTCACTAGTGTTTTTGTCCCCCCTCTATACCTATCTGTCCTAGGCTTGGTTCTAGAGAAGCAAAACCAGTACTGCATATATGTATAAATGAGACCTGGTGTGACACTGTGAGTTAATGCGCTAGGCTGTGAGGTCAGTTTGAACCGTAAGTTTGGCTGTTAAAGCTCACCAGCCGCTCCTCAGAAACCCTTTACAGGGTCACTATGAGTCAGAACTGACTCGATGGCACTTAAACATCAACATCTGCGAAAAGGGATAAAAGTTATTAACTGGTAGTGTTGTTGTGGAGAGTACAGTTATAAAAATAGAGTTTGGTAGATACTGGTTTTGTTATTGTTGAGTGCGATCAAGTTTATTCCAACTCATAAAGACACTATATGAGAGAGTAAAAACTTGCCCATAGTGTTTCCTAGGTTGTAACCTTTATGGGAAGAGATCACCAAGTTGTTGGTATTTTCCCCCTGTGGAGTCATTGATGAACTTGAACTACTGACCTTTTGATTAACAGCTAAATACTTAACCACTGTACCATCAAGGCCTCTTCAGCAATCATTTGTTGTTGAATGCGGTTAAATCAGATGCAACTCATAACAACCATATAAAAGAGTTTCTTAGAATGATTGGTGGGTTTGAACTGCAGACTGTGTGGTTAATGCTTATTCTTGGCAAACATTAGGAACTCAAAAATGGGCAACTATTATTAAAACCAAGTTCTACACCAGTTGAGTACAGGAGATGATTTGGGCTGTCTAGACTCTTGATATGGTGCTGTAGGATCAGCACTGGACTGCAAACCACAAGGACAACAGTTCAAACCCACCAAATGCTCCTCAGAAACTCTGTACAGGGTCATTAGGAATCAGAATCAATTGATGGCAGTTAACAAAAACAACAACAGAGAATTTGTAATGGAGTCACACAGTTAAGAGAACCTGCCTAAAAAGATAAATCACTAAATGTTTCTTTAATTTATGGATTCAATCATTCAAGTCACATGAATTTAGGTGTGGCTCTGTAAGATAAGCACTGGACTGCTAACCAAAAGGTTGGCAGTTCAAACCCACTAGCTGCTCTCAGAAACCCTATACAGACAGGGTTATTATGAGTTGGAACTGACTTGATGGCACAGAATTAGGTGCCGTCAAGTCATTTCCAACTCATAGAGAACCAACAGAACAATACATTTCCCAGTTCTGCACCATCCTCACAATTGTTATGTTTGAGACCATGGCTGCTGCCACTGTGTCAATCCATCTTACTGGGATTTTTCTTCTTTTTCACTGACCCTCCACTTTACCAAGCATGATGTCCTTCTCCTGGGACTGGTCTCTCTTGTCCAAAGACATAGCAGTTCATTTCTATTCACTGGGAGCAGCACAGGAAGAAGAAGAAGGAGAGTCAGGAATAGGTGGAGAATATGGAATGCATGTCTAATAGTTTCCATGAACAACCACCTCCTTTGCTGTGAGACCCGCAAAACTGGATGGTCCTGGCTACTGTTCATTAATATTTTGATAAGAGTCCATAAAAGAATCCTGATCAAAGGGGGAAAGTACAGGACAAAATTTCAAATTTTCATGGACTCTAGACTTTCTGATGCCATGGATGGTGGATGAACCCTTGTAACTATTGTCCTGAGATCATTTAATCTTAAATTTTAAAATATCCCCTGATGCCCTCTTAAAATTGAATAAAAATTTAGCTTAACTAGTAAAAGAAGGTCTGCTTTGAGCATTATGCTTATTTATGAAGTATCTATATGGGATCAAATTGGCAAAAGCAATTCCAAAAACTAGATTGGAATCTTAGGGAACAGTGAGTTTCTGTTAAAAATGAAAGAAAAGCAAGGTGAGAATAGTTGCACAGCTCAACGAATGCAATCAATGTCACTAAATTGTACATATAGAAACTGTGGAATTGGTGCATGTTTTTGATGTGTAAATTCTCAACAACAAAATAAATAAAATGTACTTATAACTAAAAATTTAGAAGAGAAAAAGAGCTTTCTGGCAGCTTATTGCAAGATGATTAATGGAAACAAGTAAAGGCAGAGAATCCAGTGCAAGGGTTCTGCAGTAACTTAAAGAGATGCAACAATTTGCCTGAACTAAGGCAACAAAATTATTATAAGTGTAAATGAGGGGACATATAGTTGTGACAGTCATTTGGGATTTTAAAATAATGTGGGAATTAAGGAAGAAGTGTGTGGTATATACCCAAAAGAAATAACAGCCAGGACATGAGTAGATATATGCACATCCATGTTCACTGTAGCACTATTCACAAGAGCAAAAAGATGGAGACAGCCGAAATGCCCATCAATGAAAGAATGGATAAACAAACTTTGGTACATGCACACAATGGAATACTATGCAACACTGGAAAATAATGAATCTGAGAAACACCTCATAACACGGATGAACCTGGAAGACACTATGCTGAGTGAAATTAATCAATCATAAAAAGACAAATATATGAGACTACAATTGCAAAAGCTCAAGAAAAGGTTTTCATACTAAAAAAAATTCTCTGATAGTTACCAGGGGTGGGAGGAGACATGGGGACTTGACCCAAATAAAAACTTGTTTCTTTGTTCAGAGTTTTATGGGAAATTTCGCTAAAACTATTGACTACATCCTTAACTGAAGGGGTCTATTTATAGAAATGGTTAATGTCAGCAGCAAATAAACTCCCCCAAGGGGATTCAGTGGTGAGGACATGACTGGCAAGAATATAAATCAGAACCTTCCTAATGTCACAATTTGAAAGAGATAATGCATGAGCCAGAAAAGCGCAAAGTATTTATGGAGGTCCTAAATTATTTCCTAGCCTAGACTATGTGTATATGAGTCTTGACACTTGGAGAAGAAAATTAAAAATAGTCCAAGAAACTTTCTTAACTAAGTCCAGTGTAGCACAGCAAATACCATTTAATATAAAAAATTCTATCTTTCAGTATGAAATAAATTATTTAGAAATTGGCATTCAGTTTTAAGAGACATGAGGGTTGGTTCTTCAGGGGCTTTGTTAAAAGTATTATGGGGTCTTGCTGTTTAGTTTCCTTCTTCAACTATAAGTTTCT